AATTGGAATATCGAAATTTAAATCGTACTTAATATTCTGTGTCAATTCACCTCGACAACAGTTATAGCTAACAAACAGATAAGTTATATGAGCATTGGATTCTTTGTTGTTGAGTTAATGATAATTGACGAGGAAAATCGATTTTTCGCGTTCAAGCGAATTGGAATATCGAAATTTAAATCGTACTTAATATTCTGTGTCAATTCACCTCGACAACAGTTATAGCTAACAAACATATAATTTATATGAGCATTGGATTCTTTGTTTTGAGTTAATGACGAAAATCGAAAAATCAGGCCAATCGGTATAATCAAATTGTAAATTTTATAAGCATAGAATTTCTTGGTTGCTGATTTAGGGTTTCTAGCGATGAAGATTAATTTCGCGTTTCGAAAATCAAGCAGATCGTTATATGCAAACTCAAAATCGTACTTAATATTCATTGACAACAGTTACGCTTAACATGCATGTAAATTTTATAAGCATAGGATTCTTGGTTGCTGATTTAGGACTGTCGTATCACTGTCGCATCGCTGCTTGTGACGATACTTGTACCATGCGCTGGTGTTACTGCACCGTCGGAGTAATGCAGAAATTTAGGAGAGAATACGTCACGCGCAGCATCACAAGAAACATCAGATGAAGCAATCATATTGTGGGAGACTTATATATTATATCTTTTTCTTAAGTATGATTTATAGATCCTGATAACAATCAAACTGGTTCAAGCAACACCGAAACTCCTGACAAAAAAGTAGAGAACTCACAAATTGATGGTATTTTTGTAAATAAGGTAGTCACAATGTGGAGACTTTGGTTGTTTTTTTTTTTTAAATAATATATTGGAGTTTCCATTCTGTTGCAGATATTTGATTTGATACTTTCAAACTTCAATCTTGAGGAAGTATGGAAAAAAGTAACAGAAAGTCTGAAACGAGAAAATTTGCGAGTGCAGTACGTATTGTGAATTGTAACTGTATGCTTTTACCAATAATATTAGTTCTCTGTTCAATTAAGGAAATTTGGGTACGGATAGTGGATCTTTCAAACTGGACAAAAGTTGACTGGGGTAGGATTCTTAAAACATCTGACTATGCACAGTTATTTAGCAAGTCAAGAGGAAAACTTAATAAAGATAAAATCAATAAGAAAGTAATAAGTTTGCTTCATGATGGATGTGGCTCGATGGTAAGACGGTTTATTTATAGTTGTCAGTTTTTTTCTTACAGCACATTCATAATAATAAATTGCTGTGGTATTTTATAGAAGTCACTGTAGAATGGAAAAATAAATTTTCAACTTTGGAATCTGAAGATGCACAATTAACTGTCGGGATGATTGAATTTTTGTAAGTGTATTATTGAATATTTGAATGGAGATTTTTGTTTTGCTGATACTAATACTAACTGTAATTTTATTAAGCCATCTCTGCTTACGAAGAGAGATCAATATACTCTTTATGCAACATAGAGAACAGGATTATAATGTCAAGATTCTTGGTCCAATTTTTGGACTAATATTTGAAGAATTTGATATAGGTTCATTTGAACTTAACTGGTAAGTAATGATTTTTGCATTACAATAATTCTAGAAAATTAATTCTTAAAAGACTATAATTAACTTTTCCTAGGATTGAGAAAGATTCACGCAGTGTTACTTCCACAAAACGGAAATATGTTAATGAGGAATATGTAAAGTTAAACCCACCATCTAAAATGATGGATTTGATTATATCATTGCGCAGTTACAAGGTTGAATTATTGGTGCTTGAAGCGGGGAATACAGAAGGTCCTATAGATGATACTAAATTTCGGGAAGATCATTCTAAACTTAAAGTTGTAATGAAAGATTGTATGGATGCCTTTTGGCATAAACTGCATTTCAGAAAAAGTGAGCTTGAAGAAGTCTTTGTAATGGGCATACAGATAACAGGTGTGTTTATAAATATATTTTATTATTCGGTGTGGTTTAAGTACTCTGCTTAAAATTTACGTATGTTGTACACATAGGCACAAAATGGACTATCTACTCCCTTACATATGATAATTCGGAGAATTATTATTTTTTTTGTTGAGATGGCGACCTTGATATTACCGACGATGTTATCTGAAATGAATGACTTCGCACCAGGTTTTTTGGAAAACCTCCTAGCATTACGGGTATTTATGGCTGTATGTGATTATTTTCCTGTCCAATTATATTACAATGTTCACGTTATCTTGATATTGGTTATTTAGCATACGCAAATAGAACTGGCAGCAAAAATTCGAAAATTTGCTCAAAAAAGGCTTTCTACACCGTCTCCTCCTTCATCACCATTGTACGAAACAACAGAGACTCCTTTGAAAAAACAAAAACTGAGGGAAGATCCTTTTTCTATTTTAGACAACTTATATTAAATAAAATAAATTAGGATGTTGCTTAACAGCTGCTCTGAAATATGGGTCTTCATAATGCCAGACATATCCGTGGGTCTATTATCGCATGCTAATTGGGAATAATAACACTCGTATCTGGAAGTGGTTGTCTGTTGTTATTTGAAAGTCATTCCACAGTGAATGACAAGATGAAACAAATCGATACGACTAAACTGGACAAAAAGAACGGCAAAGAACCAAAACAAATAGAGAGATTAAAAAAAAAAAAAGAGGTTGAGCAATTGAAAGCTGTAGGGACCAGAATTGATTGTATTACCTGATAATCTCATCCGTTCCATCGTATCCAAGTCTCTCTTCAACCGCTCATAACCGTTGCTTGTCTGATGCCGCTAATAAAATTCCATAATGGTGATGTTAACTGATTATTCATTCGCGAAACTATCCAATCAATGTTCGATTTACTTGAATTATTTGTTTCGTCAACTTTAATCGATCTCGCGAATTCACCAACAACACTTAAAGCCAAGAGAATTCGGTAACTGAATGCGAAAGAAAAACAGGTGCGGCTAGATAGATGGTCGAGGAGCCGACCAAATTCGTCCCCTGGGAATTATTTGCCAAATGTTCACGGTAGTGTGTCATAGTTGTTGAAGACAACGGGAACTTTGAGTCAGAAGGCTAATGTAGCTCTACGCTCCACACCCTCCACTGGTCGATGTTATATCGCGTTGCCGTTAAATTACCCATGATAATGAGTTCGATAACTTGTTTCCGTAGAACATATCTCGTGTCACTAAGGCTGTCATGTGTTGACATCACGCGTCCCATGGTAAATGTGCATGCATAGCTTTCATAAAATTTGAAGAAAGTTGTTTCACGCAATTATGGTTGCTCAGAAAAGATTGAGAAAAGTTTGCCGAGTTACGTGAAGCGTTTCAAGCTCTCTCTAGATCCGAACAAGATATATTTGTAATGGCTCAGCCGAAAGCAATTGATGGCGGAGAAATGACGTCTTAAAAAGAAACCGCGTACTAATAAAAGAACTTTTTATTATTGGGATCGCAATACGTCTCTTTGCCAGAAAACGTATCTCAATATGCTAGGAATTGGTCGCACTCACGAGAATTATGCTAAATTCATGCACTACCAAGTCCTGGTATTTTAAAATATGATGCATTCCGCAAGTTATGGCACCAATTAACGCCTTATAATCAAATTATGAGTCCAAACCGGATTTATGCGGTACGTGTCAAAATTTTCGGAACGGCTGAAAAATACAAAGAACATCTGTTTAAGGTTAACAATATTCTTAATTAATATTCCAGTTTGTGGCGTTAACTTTTACTCTTCGAGCTAAACTATATAGGGTAAATGTCCTTATAATTACTCGTTCCTCATAAAATGGTGATGGTGATTATAGGAATTTATGGTCTGTTGCTAGAAATACTAATTACCTAAAACAACTAGTCAGCTAGTATAAGCTTGCATATGTGTGGCGTATTTTACGGACTAACACTCTATCAGGTGACATGTTTGCCATTGTCGGCCTTTAAACGCAATGTGTCCCACACTATAAGTTCAACCTTACATCCCTATAGCATTATAGTTTGGGGTTCAGAAACCATGAGTTCTGCAAATAAAGAATGTTCTATTTGTTGTGAGGAACGTAGTGAATCCAACTTCCTAAAGATAACCAAGAATTGTAACCATACAAATACTGTCTGTAAGACTTGTGTCAACACCCATGTCCAAGCAGAGTTAGAAAGGAAGGGATTGTTAGAAGTTCAATGTCCAACTGCAGGATGCAGTAATACGTTAAGCCATCAGGATGTAAAGAAGCTCGCCGTGAAAGCTGTTTTTGAGCGGTACGCATACGATATCTCTTATGAGTGTTGAATGCATATATGTAATTGATATGCGGTTAGCCTAGAGGATGTACTGAATGATCGTATACCCAGTGTTAGAGCGAATATATATAAAAGCCAACAAGTAGAAGATCATATTTTGATTCAATAAATTTATTAGACAAACCAGATCAAGTAATACGTATATATCTTGAATTGACAAAGTAATGCAGTTAATCAATTTTGACATGGCAGATACGACACTTTGTCTCTCAACCAGACTCTTCAAAGTTTCCCTGACTTTCGCTGGTGCAAGAATTCTAAATGCGGGGCAGGACAGATTCACTTTGAGAGAGGTTTGTACAAAAAGACGTTGCAAAGTTTCCTTCCTTTCTCCTTTTGCTCCCCGTTGCTAAACCATGCGTGTCTTGGACCTTGTTAGATGAGGCACCCATCATGACATGTAACGCTTGTGGTGCCAGGTCATGTTATACGCACGAAATTCCGTGGCATGAAGAAATGACGTGCGATGCTTACGAAGAGGCCAGAAAGGCGGCTGAAAAGGCAACAGAGGATTATCTCCAACGCGGTACCAAGGCTTGCCCTAAATGCGGTGTTCATATTGAAAAGAATGGCGGGTGTGATCATATGGTTGGTGTTTTACGAGTCTATTATTGTCTAAATGGGACGAGAAAGACATAGATGAGGAGAAAAAAACATGACGTTAATCGAGATGTCACATGTATTTATGCCTACCGCGACTTATAGACGTGCAGAGTCCCAACGTGCAAGTACGAATTTTGTTGGCTGTAAGTTGAAATCAGTATTATATTTTACATAGATAATGTTGGTTTGCGCAGATGTTTCGTATGGCTAATGCGTCTCTATATACCGGTAGATGTTCAGCCGATTATGATGCAATTCGTAAGAATGGGAATGCGAGTCACTCTACTGGTTGCAAGTATTATGCTTGATACCTCCCCCTCGTTACATGAGAGCGAGACGTTGAGTGATTTTCCGATTATAACCCGTTAATTTTTAAAGCGGAAGTTTCCAGTGTTCCGATTCAAAAGATAAACGCATTATTGTCTCGTTAGTTTAAATTTCTTAATGTGATTCACCTCACACTCCCCCCTCCCTCATCTTTAACCTTTTTCTGAGCTATAAATAAAAGCCTTCTTTTAAATCAGCTATGCATGTTCAAAGTTCGATCTAACGGAGCAGATACGAAAACAGAGACGCAAACACAGATGCAAGTCATTTAAAAAAAACCCCCCAGAACCGAGCTAAGCCTTTTTTGGTTCTGAAAGTGGATAGCAAGCTTTGGACACAAAATCTTGCCCATACTGTTTGCCCACGTCCAACATTCCCAGTAAACAAAAAATGATTTCATTTTCCGCGATCATCGTCACTTGATGCACCTTGCAGATCTCTGCTATTGGACTGTGTAAATTCAGTAAAAAACGTTCCTTTCACGAGAGAAAAGCAACGATTTTATGGACTAGTCCAGATAGTTTATGCATGTTCAGTGTAGTACAATCAATCGGGGCAAACTTGTATCTTAAATGTTAAGTTGTGAACAATGAGACACGACAGCAATTTGCAGGTCTCGAAAGGAAAAAATTTATCGAAAACTGGGATTGATTGCTTCGTGACCTACTTTCCCCACTCTCGCTCTCATTCCAAATACTTTACTTGTAAGATTTGTAGATATTTCCTTTAGAAAAACTTTGTATTGACATCCTTTACACTAGAAACTAGCTTCGAGTCTGACACGTATGACAGAGTCACAAGTAAGGATTTATTCGTTGGGATGTTGGATTTGATAGATTATAAACAAATACACAGTGAGTCTTTGTGAAATGCGTTTATTCACGTAGATTTGCTCACGCAGATGTCGTTAACTACCAGTCAACCTCATCGGGGACACGACAGAGTGGAACAGAAGAAATAAACATTGAAATGTATGATCTCGAGGCTGGTCCTCTGGCTGAAGGGAGTGCTAATACCAACGCAAGGACGAGTATGAGTTTGGGAGGATTCTTTAAAGAGGTTAGTTGGTTGGTATAACAACAAGGAGAAAGGAGGAGGAGAAAGGAGAAAGGAGAAAGAGAAACGGGAAACTTTAAAAGACGCATTCCCCAACGAGTGTTTTTATTCATTCATGGTTTGTTGATTTTTCCAAGGTCAATTCGATACGAGATATGATTCGCGCGATAAGAGACAACATGTTAGCTATCGCAGATTTATATCGAAGAACATTAGCCAATATCACAGATGACGAGAGCATGAGTTGAGTTCTATTTTACTACTCACCATGTGTGCAAGTAACCCATATGGACTAGTTTGTACGGAAGCATGGTAACGATTGATTATCCATAGGAATGTCGCGACAGCTTGGCTTGTTCGTCTCGGAGACCAGTCGTATTAGTCTCCAAGTGGGTCAGAAACTAAAGTGTAAGTCCGGACCCAACGGTGCTGTCATGATATTCTCCTCTATAATTACGAATCTGACTTTTCTCTCTCTCTCTCTCTTTTTTTAATTCACTCAACTCATGATTTCAATATACAGTCATGGAGTTAAGTAGCAGGTCTTTCTCTCCTGGACAAGATCAGACGCAGATGAGGGTCGCTCAGGTACAACTTTTGAAATGAGAGATGGTGATAGCTTCGGGTGGTTGGGGAGATGCTGAAATCCTGAACAATTATTGTGCTCGAACAGAGTAAAGAATGACAGATGAAAAAAAAATGTATCAGGCTAAATATATATTAAGATTAATGTAGGGGTGTTGTTAATATCAAAGTGCTACGATGGTATATCATGTGTCTGGGTGTAACAGGATTGCAAGCACGTTAATCACCAATCGCAGTGTGCGTTTCGCGTGTGGTCTGTGTACCGCTGCGCTTTTTTTCACTGCTAATCATTGCAAACATGTTTAAAATATAGTACGCAGCATTGGTGAAGCAATTTATGGATACGATGTCGGAATATCGGCAATTACAAATAGAAAACCAAACCAAGTATAAAAATTCTATTACACGACAGCTTCATACGGGTAAGTATCGGAAGATCAAGCGATGGAGGGTGTGATAACGGACAATAATGTTTGGACGTGTATTTACAGTGTTTACGGTGATAACATGTTTGGTATTAGTATCACCGAGTTTGTTACAGTATTCTTATCGATAGCATTGATCCGAATATACCATTTCCCCAAGTTAGAATACTCTAAAATCGGTGTAGAATTTCTTTTGGGAATCTGCATGGCGTTCGTTTCCCCGCACCAATTGCATTTGATTACATGTTACCCGTTCTTCCATCTTCTCACACCCTTTACCTTGCTTTTAGCTAAGCCTGATGCAACAGAAGACGAAGATTCCCAAGTTCTCGATAATGATACCGGACAGGGGTATGCATCTCAGGTACGGGAAGATACCGGTCGAAATCAAGAATTCGATGAAATCGTGTCTCATATAACTCCAAACTTTAGATTCTTTCTATCAACGGATCCAATCAGGTCCGAAGTACGATAATAGCAGATCGGCAGAGGGATATAGCGAGCATTGGAAAGTCTATCAATGTATGAATAAGACAAGAGTATACAATCTACTTTGATTTCTTGTGTTGGCTTTTCTTTTCTTTATTTCCTTCATTATAGCTATCGTCATTTGGTTATCGATCTCATTGTCGTACCTTTACCTTAATCGATCGTTCGTTCCCTTATTTGTCCTTTTGTATAGTGAAAGATTTTCCCGTAATATATATGTTTTTCATAAATCCGTTTAGTCATTCCGATTGACAAACCTCTCTATCGATTCTACTCCATCCTTGCATTGCTTATAGCAGATTTATCATATGTTCGCAAAGCCACACCATGTCAAACTTTCTAAACAGGCTCTAGCTTACGAAAATCTTTCGTTCCATCTGTCTTCTAATCTTCTAATCTTTTTTTTTCCCACTTGTAGGAGCTAAACAAACTATTGTTAGAAATGCAAACCTTGGTGATTGAGAAAGATACTCCGGTTCCTACGCCCGATGATCGTTCGATTGTACAGATTGAAACGTCTACAACAACTGATAGAGTACCCGGGCCGTTGTCGGCGGCTGATAAGGTTAGGCGGGTGAGTTTATAAATGATGTATAGGTAACATATTTGGGGGGTTGAATGGTTTTTTTTTCAAGGGTAACTATGATGATATTGTTGTTGGAGGGATTCTTTATCTTTGCATCACCCTGTTGTAATGATGGTGCCTTGTGACCCTTCTTTATGTGCTGTGTGTATAGAATGATACAATCGAATCTAACCGATTTCTATTGTTTTTTCTAACCAGAAAAAGCTGACGATTTTTTTCCTAATTTTCCTAACTCTGGTAATTGCTGCTGCTATTGTTTTGGCTGTTGTTCAGCCTTGGAAATAGTTGGACAATTTGTACGTAATGGACAATTTTTTTATACTGGCTGGACGTTGTCGTGTTCAACTTTTAAAAAGAATTATTGATTCGGTTTAGTGTAGAGTCATGCTGGATTTCTCTTTTTTCTTCTTCATTAATTATCTCCGATTGATTTAGATTGACATTGAATGAGTGACAGTTGATAAGGACATTTATGTAATTTTATTATTCCTTTTTGTAATGGCAATTATGGGTACTCGCAAGTTGTGTTGATGTAGCTACTTAGTTACTGTTGTTTGGTGTACGATTATAAATAGGCAAAAAACTGATTGTGTAGTCACGTGATTGATGTTCAAAAGTGGCTATTACTATAGACGCAGCCCCTGTAATATTATTAACAATAATAATGTTAAATTCACATGCATTATTATTAGATCTTACATCACGTGATAATGACCGTTAAAGATGCTGGGATCTTTCTCGCTTGTCAATGAATGCCATTTCGGATACCGGAAACATATGACGAATTCGTGACAAACACGAGCAAACATAAAAAGGTGAAGACAGAGACGGAAGAACGGAAAAGGATATGTTCCTGACTGCTAAAACAAGAGATAGGGGCAGAAGAACCTAAAAAGAGAGGACGTTGATACGAGATGGGGTGATTTGTGTCGTATCATATAAGCTCTTGTTTTCTCGTTTCAATCAATTAATTAATTAGCACGCGGCGCTGGCTCCCTTAGTGCGCGAACACTAATCATTGAACGGTGCGACGGGTATACAGTGGAGGCATTATTAGTATTATAAAGAATATATTAGTATACTGTTAATAAGATGAGATTATATTAGTATATATAAGGATTAATAATAGTTATACTAAAGATAAGGAAATTGTCCGACTATCAGGGTTGTAGTATGTTATTTATCTTTACTAATCAAATGTTTATGTTTACCAAGAATGGAGTTTTAGTTTTATACTGTGCTACTGAACCTGACTCCGCCATAAATAATCCCTTGCCACCACCCCAAGATTACTTGGTCTACAACACCTAAACGTAACACAGCAAGTGATAACAAGTAACAGAAGTATATATATGTATATGTCTCTCGCTTATCCGAAAAACCTATTGTCGACTTAATCGGGTACCTCACCCCTCTCTGTGACGTTAAAGGGTTAAACCGGTTATGGCTTATTATGAGTTACTTGTAATGGCGCAGTTTATTTATCTGCAGTGTAAGCGAATTCGAATCAAGAGATTTTGGAAGAAGCGGAGAATGGGAGAATGGAAATGATGGAGAAATGGGGATGGGAATGGGATGGGAATGGGATGGGAATGGGGATGGGAATGGGATCCGGATGTGACTTTTGTACATAATTTGGGGTAATAAATATTCATACTCTTCTGTGGTACTGCCCCGCCATCCCCCTCCCTCCCCGAAGAGTTTTTTAACAATGATTTCTTGGCAAAAACCCCGAATGACAGCTATTGATTATTGGATCGATTTCGTTCCATCATTTTCATCGTCGATAACAGCGTTATTCGCAATGTCATTTAATCCAACAATCAGGCATTTGTGTCTTATCAAGGTTATTTTGTCAATCTTTTTATCGGGTTCGTCCCTGTCGAGCACATACGCTTTGCTTTGTATTTCCATTTCTTGATTGTCTACGCGAGAGACAATTTGAGATATTTGTTGTTACTCAAGTGTTTATAATTTTTAATATAGTTTCTTTACCATCCACCTTGAGCGAACAACATGCAAAGTATTTGGTTACTCAAGCCTAAAACTGTGTGTCAATGTTGTTACTCTCCTTATTATAAACCCTTTTTTGCAATTTTCATCGATCGATTAGAAAAAGAGATAAGAGACATTCTGGATTTCTATAGCCGAGAAAGTAAGATTAACAATTATATTAATGTCAGTATGTCGACTCGCTCAATTAGTTTCTGTCAGAACAGTCGAAAGAGAATCACATTTGAATTCACAAGCTGAAGCACGATGCACATGCATAAACAGGAGAAGACATTTGGGATGACAGAATGAATGACTTATTAGGCGGGTATATCGTAAGCGGGGGGGGGGGAGAGGGGAGAGGGGAAAGGGTGGAGACAGTAAAAGTTCCGTTGCGACATTGTATATAGAATGTACGTAATGAACACGTATGAATTTGTTCTTATCCACCTTTGGAAAGCGATCAAATTCTTGGGATACTGACTGGGGACAAGCCATTTATCATGCATATAGTAAGCAAATAATAGGGGTAACATTATGAATATGTTGGAAACATTGGAGCATGTTACTCCGAGTTGTCTCCGAATGTACTGTAACATGCAAAAGACTTTGAGAAACATTAACAATAACAAACAGCTTGTCTATGATTTAAAGCCATTCAAGATCGGGTTATCACAAGTGCCTTACTAGCGCAAACGTCTTTTCATTTACAACGTTAACAAGCTGGATCGCTCTATTTTAATTGTTTGCCTGCATCGGATACATCAAATTTATAGTTCCCCATTGTAACACTTGACTGCGATACAAGACCATAATTAAGAATACTGCGGGGACAAGTCATGTATCTTCCAAGTAAAAACGTTCGAAATCCACACAATAAGCCATCTCGACATATTTTAACCACAGCCGTGTGAGTCACGAGTAATAAAGAGCTACCGTTAGTTAATGGTCTCGGTAAAAATCAACTTGGATTTGAAGAACCGGACAGTGAAAGCACGACTATCGGGAATCCAAGGTCAGAAGGTCAAGTCGGAAAGGTCTTTGCTACTACTACAGGACGTTGCACGGATTTTAAATTTACTGCCACATTGTTACTTGTTACAGGACGATCGATATTGGTTACACTTGAAGATCTTCACCAGGTAAGAATAACTTGGTGGACCCTGGGGGACTGAAAAAACGCAATCAAGTGGTTGATAGACAATTAACAGGTAGATTGCGCAGTAAGATACTAAATGCTCTGTAGATACTAATGGTTTGTCTACTGCGCCATTATAATATACTTAGAAGTTTACGCAGAAGTTATGCAGCAACGTGGTTCCGTGGTGTAATGGTTAGCACTCAGGACTTTGAATCCTGTAATCCGAGTTCGATTCTCGGCGGGACCTTGTTTTTTGCAAACGGTCAAATAACAACAAACCTTTACTTACGGTTTATTTAAACGCCTTCTCTACGATAACTTTCGCTTCAACAGGGGTTGCGCCTATGTTAAATTTCCTGCACTGTACATTATCATGCAAGGCTAATTAAATTGGTACTCGCAGCTTACCAAAAACTCTGGTACTTTGGAACGAATAACGTTCCAAGAAATTAATTAACAATGTCTTCTCTCTTTCTCTCTTTCTCTCTCACAAATATAATTGTTTCGACGCAATTTGCACTTCGTTTATCGACCAGTCTCGAATATGCATTCAAATTGATATACACAATTTACATGTGCAATCACATATACAATCATAGTTATACACTCGTACACACAGTTCGCTCTCTTATCGTTCTTATCCGCATGATTGTCATTAGCACAACTCTCGGAAGGGTGTCTTCCCGTATATTAAGTTGATTACAGTACAGTTATACAACAATTATTAGATTAGACCACGAGGGTTACATCAGATTTGAAATGATGCATGAATCGATTCGGGGATTGAAGGGAGGGTGCGGAGTAAATAGAGGAGATGGGAATTGGGGATGGGGAAGTGGGGGTGGGGATGGGGATGGAAGGGTGGATGGAAGGGTGGGGATGGAAGGATGGGGATGGAAGGGTGGGGATGGAAGGGTGGCGGTAAACATGAAACAGAAACAATAATGCGGACAGAGAGAGGGGGTAGAAAGGCTGATAGATGGTAATAGAGAGAATGGAGATATAAAAGGCCAATTCACGAGTCGAACAATACAATAGAAGGGGGAGGGTCGATGTGTAGCGGAGTTAAAAATTGCATTATGCTTTATAGTTGTCGGATAAATTATGCAATTTCGTCCATATTTTAGGACAGTATAAATTAAACCGGGAATCTAAATGAATTTATATTGGATAGAATAATATAAATGTGATACAATGGAAAATAAATATACGTCATATGAGAGATGCAATAATATACCTTTATTATAAATATATTACACTAAACACTCTCTAAAAGAAAAATATTTGTATGTGTCTTTATATCACCAGACTATTCGAGTCATTGCCCTACCCACATAACAAAAGATCAACCAAACAGAAGCTCCAAATCATATTGCAATTAACGCCCTATACAATCCAATACGTCCCCATTGACGTTGACTTTCCTCGACTTAGCAATGCCACACACAGATTGAGGTTGTCCCCATCTCCCTCCCCATCTCCCTCCCATCACCACCCTCCCCTCGTCATGGTTACGAATATCACCAAGTTGCGGATTAGGAAGTCACATCCGATATTTTTCAAGTGTAAAAAACCAATTAACTAGAAATGAACTACAGGAAAATTTGTTCGATCTCATTGTCAAGAGACCTTGCAGCGGAGAGCAAGTTAACGTCATATAAAAATCGGCCAATCATAGGTTGCGTTTGATTATTTATAATTTAAACGTCGACTACTGACTGCGACATCAATTCTCGTCCCTGTATCTCCTACGGTCGCTCCTTCTATTCCCCCCCACTCTCTTTTGTTTCTTGCAAAGCTTTAAAAGAAAAAAAAACTACCCAATATCATTTGCATAAACCCTACTTTATAAATATCCATATCAAGAACTATGAGCGATACACGCAACTACAAAGACAAATATTACAGACTCAAAGATAAATATGAAATAATCAGTAAGGTTAATATCCAGTAGCATACGCGATACAAGTTGTTCGTGTTTGCTATCATATCTCACTTGTCTGTCTCTCAACGATATTGTATTATGCCTTTTGACATTTGCTTACAAACGTTCAATCGCTGCACCCAACAGCAACGAGACGACCTTAAGCACTCTCTGGATTCAGTAAAGCATAAAGTGCGTCGGCTGAAAGAGGAAAACAAGTAAGCTGATGTCAATTATCTATTCGATCAACGTCTTTTATTCAAAACGACTCACACTCTTCCCGTCGCTCCCTCTCGTATCGTCCTATAACTACTCGAATTCCCAGTCAACTGTTGGATATAATGATGGATATGAATCCTCAGCTTGCTGATGATTTGTCAAAGTAAGAACAAGGCGGGGAAAAGGATATCGGGAGAAACTCAGACTCTGGTTGGGATCGTGAATTCGAAGAGATTGACTGATTGTGGTGCCCTCCCCCTTTTTAATTGGCGTTGCAAATAGTAGCAGTACTGATGAAGAGATGCTATCCGGCATGTCAACAGATGATGAATCTATGCGGACGGTATTGACCAAGTATGGTGTGTATTCAATTCTGCTTTCCTTGTTTGTCTTTCCCTACTTACGTCCGTTACTCGTTTCTTTTCTTCCCCGCCCACGTTTTCCGATCTGTTTTGTTTCCTTTCTCATCAAACTCTTATTATATTGCCCCTTATTCCACACAATTGTTTCTACCGTTCTGTCAAACAAATCTTTACGAAACCGTAGGATCACAGTCGAAAACTATAAGTCGATCAAATGTAAAGGCAGGTGCACTAACGACAAAAAGACGACGCACTTCATCACAAGCCAACATGAAACACCCAGGCAAACGAAAGGTACGGATGACGTAATGAGTTTCTAAATGAGAAGGTGGAGTATAGGGAGAGTTTGGCGGAGAAGGCAGTCATGGACTGCGGAGGTCTGAAAGTATGAACCTGAACCTGTGCGTGAATGGGATATGCCGACTTGTTCTTATAGATCATGCTAGTGCGTATTAAATGATTATATACTTTCAGACTGTCCGTCTATATTTGCCTTCATCTCACTTCTGTTTTATTGTTTGTTCATCAAACTATTAATATTAAAACGGAGTTATTCAATCAATTCATTTGTTTAATTCATTATGGACTTTTGCAGGTAGAGGATGAGTCAATCCCAGATGAGCCGCAGCAAAAAAGACGTCGCTCGAGGGCCCCTGGAGTGGTACGTTACTAGAGTGGTTTCGTGATTGTGTGTGGTGGAAATTACGTTGCTTTGGCCTTTTCTTTTGTAATACAGACTCTAGAAGGTCTGGTTCGAACAACGCATCCGATAATATCTTAATATCATTACATGTCTTTAACCCTACTTTTCTTCTTTTCTCCCTCCCAATTTTTATCCTATCGATAAGAGTGCTCTTATAGTGTTTGTCATCGACTTGGTCGACTATGAAGTTGGATTTTCTTGATAGAATCTCTAATGTCATAGTGTTTGTACATCTCGATTGGTGTTATTGACCTTCTTTCTGTTCTTTAAACATCCAGAAAAAGAAGAGAGATGATCGCACAGATGCAAAAAGAGTCGAGGTATGATAGTTTGACGATTGTATAATTTTGGTAGTTTATTTGATTATCATTATCGTGTGGTGATACATTATACATCACGAATAATTAATATGGTGGGGGCTTTTTTCATGTCCTGTATTTTACATTTGTCTGTACTTCATTAGCCATTGCCGATGAACCCGGACGGTACTCTTAGGTTACCTGTCACCATTGGAAAGGGTACTAATGAAGTAACAATCTACAAAATTGGTAAGTATGTTTATCGCTTATTAATATGGCATTTCCATGATCGCGTACAGGAAACAGTGTAATAAACGATGCTATGTATGGCATGGCTATGCGTCTACGTGCGGTTATAATAGTTTGTTTAATAACTGTATTTATATATACTGTTTTATCTAACAGGTAGCATTGTATGGGACAGAGAAGCATATCATACAAATCGTTATATCTTCCCCGTTGGTTTCATGAGTAAGAAACAGTATCTAAGCGCAGTGGATGTAACAAAGAGGACTACCTACACAAGCGAAATTATTGATGGCGGTGATACTCCGATTGTAAGAGATTCTAACGCCATTCTATTTATTACCTAATAGACCAACACTCTGGAGACTGTTGAGTCATAATAGATGATTTAATCGTATTTTCTTTCATTGATGTTACCAGTTTCAAGTTACTGCCGCGGATCAACCCGGACGAAAATTCTCCGCTAGTTCGTCGAGTGGCGTCTGGAAGAAAATACTCGACGAGATTAACTGTCAGGGTGTTCCATCCAAGACACACGCGAGTGGACCTGAGATGCTCGGATTGAGTCATTTGGGGATTACTAAATATATTCAGGTAAGTCAGATCGGTAATTAGCGTTTGGAGAACCAATGGTAACTTATGTTGCACCAAAGCACAACAGGGGGGATGACAAGGGAGTTGTTATTCCATTTATATAATATAGCATTAACAATATTGTCCATTAATGCAAAACAATGGAAGGGGTATATGGTGGAGCGTATTAATAATTGATTTATTATTTCATATGGGATTTAATGTCAATGACGATAATTCATATTCAATACTCCTGCATGTAATTTACTCTCATTGCTCGTCCCGTAGGAGCTACCTGGCGCAGAGAAATGCACGAAATACGTTATGCAAAGATGGCTCGATGACGATCAGCCCGGAAAACACGCAGACTTGTCAATCAAGGCTGAAAGCACCGATGGCGACAAAGGCAGCGTTACAAACGGTCATGACCACGACTAATCACTGTGATAATGACTTGATACGAAAAGAAGGAGTAACAAGGGATATCAGGGACACATGACGATAGTGGATGCGTGACTGCTTGTAACCCAGGCGACAATTCTGATGTTTATCTTTTATTGGAGGGTTTGTTGGTATTATTGTATAGCGAGCTGAGGATAGTGTGGCGAAATATTGGTAATATATCATATATATATATATATATATCCTCTTTACCTTGAGCAGAAAAAGTTTTGCTAATATTCTTTACATTGTTTGGCCTATTCTTAGCAGTAATTATGCACTTTGATATAGTATATTTTGTATTTGTATTTCATTTATTTGACATCCTTTTTCCCCCACCCCCCTCTCCGTCATATTCATGTTCTCGACGGATGTTTGTTCCTTTGGATGCATGATTCACACATATTTGTCTTTCAATACGTTGATCGTCTAATGAGCAAAGGCATAAACATAGTCAAAACGAATTATATTCTCATGTACATAGAACTTCATTTTAAGTATAAGCTGTATTCATTTCAATCGTTCTTATCACTTATATCATATATATTCTAGTCTGTATTTGCATATAAGAATCATAATAGTAATGCATCGATGCGAATGTCAGGAGAGAGAAGGATTGAGGAAATGGTGTGCGTTCAATAGTGAAGCTGGGATTTGATAATTGTAAATGATCATATAACATAAATGAATGTAACTGACATGTAAATGGGGTTAGGTTAAAACAAGACTGTCGAATTAAAAGTTGTGTTAATGTGTGTCCGAGATTGATCCTCTACCGGACCACATTCTATTGGTTTTGCCTACAAACATCCAGTTAAGCTCACAGAATTGTACTTCGGGCATGGATCCTCGTTAATTTTAGTTCGAAAGTTTGGTTACATATGAGGCAAACACAGGTGCATACAGATTTGGCTGTAATTATTGTCTATTTTTACGTGCCATAATTTATATATCCTCCACGAATAGAGTTTGCTTCCAAAAACATTACAAATGCACACATACACACACCGACACCGGGTCGTGTGTCAAATACCAATACGATGCGACGTTGAACTCTAATAGTCAGCAATACGGAAGAACCCGTAATATCTACGCTTTTTTAATCGAAATCCACTAATTTGCTGGCACTTTATTAACTCATTTCGTCTAGGAGGGAAAAAAAGCTCGACCGGGGGACGGCCAACAATGGCAAAGCTGCTTAATTACTTATGACCTTTTACGTCTTTCATTTTGTGACTTGCACAAGATGCGAGGTTAACCTCAAATGAGGCTGTCAAATTGTATCGCACAGAATGATGCATACGATCTCGCTCGAATTAACCAAAATTATAAGTTGTGTGATATGTTTTTTTATATCTGCCTGTGACATTGGACAGTAGAAATCGAAGGCATTCTTATTCGTCCAACAAATGTGCGACTCTCTGTTAGTTACTTTTATAGCTTTGCATTGCTATATTTTGACGGAAGGCGGATATTAGGGAAACAGCAAGCAGAACTATATTTTGTGATCAACATTTCCGCAGTAAGGGTCTGACCCGAGTCTTTACTAATAAAGGGAACGCACATTGTATAATATTTAATTAATATCGTTATCAATTTATTTAATCGGATATCGATATGTATGTGGCCAATTCTAGTTAGTTCCAAGGTTTTTGACAGAATCATATTGTTCGCCACAATCAACGTCAGTGTCATTGGATTTAATTTTTATGGTCAAATAAAACGAACGGATTTAAAGTTGAACTTACAAACGCGACTTCTTTGGCAAGTTAACTGTATGGAACATTGTATTAGTATATTAAAATAATCTTAAATTTCGTGTTACTGAGATATGGGGTAATACAGTATATAGGGCATGTTGAACATTCTATTACGTGACATAAATGAGAGGCTGATTTGGCTAATAGCATTTTGATTATCACAGCAATAGCAAACTTATATAGGATTATGCCTATATAAAAATATTAAGATGAAACTAATTTACATCAAATCCACGATTAATAATGTTACCCACATCTTCATCAGAGAAGCGTGTTGCTCGCTTTGGTTTGATTTCAAAGATGATTTCAACATTGAGAGGATCTAATCCCCGATCTTTTTCTAACCCCATGCAGTCGGGTTTTCTTGTATGTAGTATTGGAATAAGATGTGTATTTTACATAAATGCGCGCAGCTGGCAGTTTGGCACATGCCTCAATAAATAGCTTGGTAATCTTCTTCCCGGGTACTAGTAGGAGGATCGCGAAAACGTCCCAATTTATTCCGTCTGCCACATACAACATTATTTATTTGGCAAACTTCCAAGACTTTACGCCCTTTTTCTGTTGTCGTTAAACCCGCTGAAAAGGTGGTTTGCTAAGTGATCAGTGAATACTAATACAGCGACGTTTCGTAAATAAGACCGAAATGGACATACCAGAAAATGTGTTCCAGTTTTCACTTGAAAACTTTGCCCTCTTGACGTCTCTATAAATTTCGTCCACCTTTCTCTTTACAGCTAACAATTCTTCAATCACGAGGTAGATTAGTCATGCCACAAAAAAGTGGCAGTCCCGTGACCCGAATGATCTCCGACGCAGAGGTTTTCCGGAATCGACACATATGGATATATTCGTGCTACATCCTCAAATTCTGGGGGGATTATCTTTATTTAGAAAGGAACTCACTTGCGCGACACTTTCGATTCTTCGTTTTGACTTTGTAGCCCTTGGTCAGT